GCGCCGCCACGCTTCCCAAGCGGCGCACTATCCAGTGCGCCACCGGGCCGGCCCAAAAATATAATTTCTTCTAATATTTGTGTTAAATTTTTCTATTTTTGCAACAGATTCATGTGGCAAATTATTATTATCCTGTGGTCAAAGACTCAAAACATATCAAGCTCTGCTCACCCCACGCGTATACCTTCACATTCCAAAAATAGGAAAAGAACATACCTCTCTTACTTTGTTCAAATTCACCTTAACGGTAGATTGTTATATCTACATTTGAATAGAAATATTGCCCAGTATAACTGAACTGGACTACTATAATTCCAGTTCTTCATATTTCAAAAGGCATTTTGAGTTCAATTGGCTTAATATGTAATAAGTTTCCTTGCAGGTCTTTGTATAGAGGTAAATGTACAGATGAATGGCAAATTTAGTTTTAACACTTCTTTAGATATCCTTTGACTATACTTGTATTTGAACTTTATAAAAATGGAATTATGCTGTATACATTTTTCTGTGTCTTTTATGTAACACTTTACAGATTCATCCATATTGATTAGTTCAAATATAGTTCATTCACTTGCACTGCTGCATAGTATTCTATTATGTAATTTTAACACAATTCATCCATTGTTCTGCTGATGGACTTTTGGGTACTTTCCACTTTTTTGATATAAGGAACAATGTTGCTACATGTCTTTGGCATATATGAGTAATGGAATTGTTACATGATGTAGACATTTTAATGCATCTTGATTCTTAAGTTTCAAAGGACTATATAAATTATATAAAACCTGAAGAATTATGCTTAAAGGGATCACAACAATATTTGCATTGTATTTAAAGTATTTGCATTGATTTTTAAATATATATTTTAAACTTAAGTTATATAATTCTAGAAACTATAGAGTTGGGAAATATCTATAATTTTTAAATATTTGTCTTATACATACATGTTTTAGGCAAGATTGTAATTATAGTACTTTGATTTGTTTCCTGCTATTGTAACATTATGCACATTTTATTGTATATATCAGGCATCATGGCTTTCTTATTTATATAAATTTTAATACCTGATAGGCCATAATTTATTCAATCATTTTCTTCTTGTTGAAAGTTTAGATTTCTTTCAGTGATTCATTGTAAATAATACTGTGATGAATGTGTGTGAGACTGTGACTCTTTCCAGTATAACCAGGAAAAGCATCACAGTAGCAACCTGGAAACAACTGTAAAACCTTTTTATTAGAATAGAAAAATTAAAACTTATTGCTTGATTTTTGTTAGGCACTGTGGTATGTGTTTGCATATGTTTTCTCATTTAGTCCTCAAATAATTGAGTGAGATGAGCAGTAGTATACGCATCATTATACTTACCTGATTGTATTGTAGTGATTTGTTTTCTAAGAATTACGATATTTTATTTTTGAATCCTCAGAGTCTATTGTAGTTCCTGGCATATAATGAGGCTCAATAGATGTTATCTATTGAAATAGATGTTTAAAAGCTTTGCCTTAGGGCAGTCCTGACCTTACAAAATTCTCTTTGCTATCTTTGTTTCCTGAGCCATAGTAGGGACTTAGTAGACAGTAAACTGAGTCCAAGATGTACCCAGAATAGTACTATTTAAACAATGTCTCTAACTGTAATTTTGTGTGTATGTATTTGTCAGTTATCTCTGCTGAAAAGGTGTCAAGAAGAAATTATACTTGGATTTTTATTAATTTGTACTTTACCTACATTGTTTATTCGAAATTAATGTAATTCATTTGCAATTGAGTTCTTTTCTCTGGTTATTTGGAAAATACTGTGTAGCTTTTTGCGGGGAGGAAGGAACTATTCTTTTTTTTTTGGCAGCTGGCCAGTTGGGGATCCAAATCCTTGACCTCGGGCCTGCCCGTGGCTCAGTTGGGAGAGTGTGGTGCTGATAACACCAAGGCCATGGGTTCGGATCCCATATAGGGATGGCCGGTTCGCTCACTTGGGAGAGAGCATGGTGCTGACAACACCAAGTCAAGGGTTAAGATCCCCTTACCAGTCATCTTTAAAAAAAAAAAACCAAACAAACCCTTGACCTCAGTGACTGCCTTTAGGAGACTGCCTAAATGCCCACAAAGCACTGTAGAGTTCGTTCATTGTCCCCCTCTCTGGGAACTATTGCACTTATTAAGACTTTCATTCATTTCTAACTAGTTTGCTCTGCCTTTATATTTTCCCATAAACATGCTGTATTAGTCGTTTATAACAGAATATCTGAAATAGCATAATTTATAAAGTAATGAAATTTATTTCTTACCATTTTGGAAGGCAGCTATGCTTACCACTATACCACCAACGCTTTTCGATTTCTTACCATTTTGGATGCTGAGAAGTCCAAGGTCCAGGGGTACAACTGGTGAGGACTGACTTCTTCATGGGAACTCTCAGAGTCCTACCACATGGCGAGAGGGCTGAGCATGTCAGTGTGCTCAGTTGCTCTCCTTTGTAAAGCCACCCATGCCACTACCATTAAAATGCACTCATCTATTAACCTATTAATCCTTAAATGGATTAATCCATTCAGGAGGATGTAGCCCTCATGATCCAATTACCTCCCAAAGGTCCCACCTCTCAACACTGCCACATTGGGGATCAAAGCTTCCACATGAGCTTTGGAGGGGACAAACATTCAGAACATAATACTTAAGTGAGAAATTTACTTATTTTTGTCTTTTTGTGCGTGACAAATTTAAAGTGTTTTTTTGTTTTGTTTTCATGGCTGGCTGCTATGGAGAATCTGGATAAATTTAAAGTATAAGGATAGTGGATTGTTTAAAACACACACAATTTTTTTATACCCAGGTTGAAACAATATAAAATTTTGGAATTCTCTGTAGTGAGACCAAACTCCTTGACTAGAAAGTAAGAGAAGCTAGTAAAGTTCTTATCCTCTACTGCTGCATTAGTGGACCATGAGAAGTAAATAGAAATGAGCCATGTGAGGAGCATCCATAACCCAGGCTTATTTTGATGGTTCTGGCCTACCAGAAAGGAATAAGAGTTATTTCAAAGGAATTTAATTGAATAAAAACTTTTTAATTTCTTGTGAGAAACTGTCATTTCACCCTGAAGTTGTAGTGCATTCATCTTAGTTTTCCTAAATGTGACCCACAACTACTTTAACTATGGAATATCTTATTTTGCAAGCTTATAGTTTTTTGTGAAAGACATATACCTATGGCACACTGTGAAAACACCTTTTATTCTGGTATTCTATAAATATTCAATAGAATTACTTTTAATTTTTAGTTCAGCAGACTGTGCAACAAATTAGGCATACCTCACTTTGCCCTTATATATATTTTGGCATAGTTTATAATTTGATTTTAGTTTAAGTAAAAGTATATTTTCTTATTAGTTTACATTGTGTTTTCCTTACAGCTCAGCTGTTGGTGTCAAGCCCTTTCTTAATTTTGCTAATAGGATATTGACTTTTTAAAAAACATCCCCTGGGGGAACTACTTTAAGGTTGATAGTGATGGGTTTTTTTGGTAATAGAATTCTAATAAATTTTGTTTTGAAAACCGTTATCTGTAAATTGTTATTGAAAATTTACTATTTCAACTATAATTGTCTTTACTACACTTTTTCTAATACCTTAAGTAAGATTTTAATATGTTAACTGTCTTTTCCCCTTCTTTAGGTATGGCTGATGGCAAGCATTGTACTTTTCCACATCTACCTGGCAAAACCTTTGTCTATAATGCTTCTGAAGATAGATTGGAGTTGTGTGTGGATGCTGCAGGGCATTTCCCCATCGGTCCTGATGTTGAAGATTTAGTTAAAGAGGCTGTAAGTCAGGTTCGAGCAGAGGCTACTACAAGAAGTAGGGAATCAAGTCCCTCACATGGGCTATTAAAACTAGGTAGTGGTGGAGTAGTGAAAAAGAAATCTGAGCAACTTCATAATGTAACTGCCTTTCAGGGAAAAGGGCATTCTCTAGGAACTGCATCCAGTAACCCACACCTTGATCCAAGAGCTAGGGAAACTCCAGTTGTAAGAAAGCATAATGCAGGGACAGACTTTAGTAATAGTTCCACTAAAACAGAGCCTCCAGTATTCACAGCTGCTCCTAGTAACAGTGAGCTTATTCGAATAGCTCCTGGAGTAGTAACAATGAGAGACAGCAGGCAGCTTGATCCTGATGTTGTTGAGGCTCAGCGAAAAAAATTGCAGGAAATGGTTTCTTCTATTCAGGCTTCAATGGACAAGCACTTGCGGGATCAAAGTACAGAGCAGTCACCATCTGATCTTCCTCCAAGGAAAGTAGACATTGTGAGTTCTTCTGCAAAGTCTGGGAGTCTTCAGACTGGCTTGCCTGAATCTTTTTCTTTAACTGGTGTCACTGAAAATTTGAATACAGAAACAACTGATAGCTGTGTGACAGATGCACTGGGAGCGGCATTTGCCACAAGGTCAAAAGCACAAAAGGGAAATCCTGTGGAGGAGCCCGAAGAGATGGATAGTCAAGATGCTGAGATGACTAACACAACTGAGCCAATGGATCACTCTTGATTTAATTAGAGGCTAATAATGGCAGAATGTTTATTGTGAATATGTAATATTTGTTGGCTGGGCCACTTAACTTGATTAGTCATTAAAAATCTTGTACGTATATAATTCAGAGATTATATCTTGTTATTCAGTGCATGATAGCAAGTGTGTGATTGGCAATAGCTTTTAATATACTCCTTCCCAGGCTGGCTCTGAATTCCTATAAATTAGTTATTAGATCTGCTGAGATGAGTTTCTTCCATATATGTGGTTCATTGGAAGTTCTTTGTAATTTTAATTCTATGAAAGTCTTACTATTTCAAAGATGAAAATTCTACTAAATAAGTATGTTTGATTTCTGAAAAGACTAAAATGGATAGAAATGAGATTTCGCTAATGTTGATGTCATCAAGATGACTATTCCACATATTAGAGTGTCAAAAGATTTGTCAATTTGAAGGTTGTCTGAACTAAATTGTATCTTAAAATTCATAAAATAACTATTAGACAGTGGGATTCTGACATTTCCATGAATCTAAACACATTCATAGAGATATGTATTCTTGGCAAAAAGATCTTGAGAATAGAGTGTAATGATAGAACATTTTACTGATTTGAGCAAGGATGGGGAAAAATATGTATTCTAGAATGATAAAGTCAATGTGATTAAGTTATGTTGCTGTCTGAGCCAACACAGCAAATTGTGTGCTCTGTTGATAATGTGTTACCATTATTTTTTTAATCTTGGCCTGGTCAAGTACCACCTAATTTTTTTTAATCTTGCAGAAAAGTTGATTGCAAAGTATGGTAGAAAATAAAAAAATAATGGTAGCAGTGGTCAATCTCTAATTTTCAGAGTTTGTCAGATTCACAGAGAATTTATAAATAAGAATTTATCTTTATGAATGAGTTACATTGTTCTACAATTTTGGTCAATGGTATTTAAGCCTATGTATGCTTAGTGTCTTTGAGCCCCTTTGAACCAAAAATGCTTCTTTTTTTTCTTAGAGTCCATAAGATTTTCTTTATTTGTTGGCTTTACTTGGGTTTGGATGCAAATTTTACTGCATCGTACCCTGATTGGGCATTTGCTTAAACAGTGTATTCATCAGATCTTTAGTGATAGTTTCCTCAAGAAGCAGCTTTGATGCTTATTCCTTATAGAAAAAGAGTGTTTATCCTGAGATTGGTATTGCACTATTTCATCCTATTCTGCAAAATCTGTATTCTGAAATGTACATTTCAATCCATCTTCCTCTGTTCACTGAAATTAAGTTGAATTCGAATGGATCAAAGACAAAATATATGTTAATACGGTCTCTTACCTAGAGCATTCAAAGCCTGGCTGTCTCTGTTTGCACATGTAACAGATGCAGAACTGTGTTTGCGATTCTAAGAAAATGTACATCAGAAAGTATATTATTAGGTGTTAAAAAATCTCAACCTGTTGACTCATAAGGGATATAGAATCTGTTTTTCCAGATAAGGGAGATTTTGGTCTTCTTTCTATGAAAGTATCTCTAACTGTATCCTCTTATTAAATGAACTCCATTTTGAATAAGAAAGGAATGGAGACTCTAGACATTTTGCAAGTATATCTGAGCAAGATATATATATTTGGGTTAGTTTTTATCACGTTTTTCTTTACGGTATTTTCTCTCCATTCTTCTACTTATAAATTTACTTTCAAGCATCTTTCACTACATCAAAATAGCAGGAAAATTTAGAACTTTTATGTTATGCGCTAGTTTTGCATAAAGTAAGAGATGCAGCTATGAAATAATATTTACCACTTAGTATATAGGTGGCTTCTGTCACTCACTAACCACTATAATTATTTTTGGCTTTTCAGTCACCAAGACATTTTTCCTTTTTTTCCCCCCCTTTCTTTTTTGGATTTAAATACAGGAAAACCTTAAAGCAAAAAATGCACTGCTTCCAAGGACATGATAGGATCACCTTTTCTTTAACAAATATTTTCTTCACCTGTGGCTTGATATGTTTTGTTAATAACTGACAAATGTATCATTTCTCGGCCTTTTGGCTCAGATGAAGTGTAATAACCAACAAATATAATCTCACAGCATTAAAGTTAAAAATACCAGAAACAAATTTTATCTCCCTATTAAGTTCTTGTATAGAATGCACATGTGTGGGGGCTGGCTGATTAGCTCATTTGAGAGCAGGGTGCTGACAACACCAACACCAAAGTCAAGGATTCGGATCCCCCTACTGGCCAGTTGCATCCCACCCCCCACCCCCACAAAAAAAGATGCAGTAGAATGCATGTGTGAACATTAGAAGATGGGCTTAAGCTATGACAACAGTTTATTAATTTCTCTAGCTACAGCAACACTGTTTAGAAGCCAATTAGGTATTAGTACAGTACAATAACAGTTTGAGTTGTCCCTTGATAAAGAATAAAAGGGTTGATTGTGAGAAGTGATCAGATTTCTTGAAATTATTTTAAATCAGCTGAAAATTCGTTGGGGTAATTAATGGTTTTTCATCCTCACAAGTTCTAGAATAGGATTTCTTTAAGTTTAAAAATATCCTTGTCATTCGGTATGGTTATATCATAACCAAATACATGACTATAGAATGATTTTTTTTTTAGTACTACCATTTGTGATATTGCTGCATCTTTCAGTCCAAGTGAGGCTCAAATCAGTTAAAGTCTTTTTTAGCCCTAGATGTAACACTGTAACTATAATTCAATCCTATAAATTCTATTTGCAGTGTTTCATTGAACATTGAAATAAAATTGTAAATTTTTTCCTTCACTAATTCGTTCTATAGTTAATCATACGTACCAAGTTTGAATTGTTTACCCAAAGTCCAGTTGAAGATGGTGTTTGTCTAGAAAACTGGCAATGAGAAACTGGTTGAAATTGAAGAAAACAGGACACTGCCAAATATTGTGAAATAGAATATAATTAACTCCAAGGGAATGGTTACGTAGGAACTAGTTTAAGAACAAGCTTAAGGCCCATTTCCTCCCCTTTCACTATGTTTTAGGTATTTTATTTGGAAAATGTTAGGATAGAGGCCTGAGAAATTTAGCAAATGCTGTTGACTGAAATTTGCTTTATATATTCTGATGATTTTTACTTTTGTTTTTGCAATCAAGCCTACTTCTTGCAATTAAGATATTAATCTGAAGTGCGTCTGTGATTCCCTGCCACAGGTCTTTATTTTAAAAGTAACTTCACTGGAAATGAGCAGTGATTTTTGCATATGGTCTCTTACCTCAGGGAAGATCACTTGCTAGCAACTCATACAGTACTAATGACAGGTTTTTGAGAATTGTACTGACATATATATCACGTTAGCTACTAAATGTAAAATTGATACAGTATTATTTTATGTAGTAAGCTACTAATATGGTCTGCTAGTGAACATTTCTCTAAATATTTAGACCTCACTAATAACTAATCTTTAAGTATAAAATAAACTTGTAACTTCTGTCATTAAGTACATCTTAACTGTTTAATATAGTGACAATATTATAAAATGTTTATTTCAGAATATCAGTAGTCTTTATTTTTCAAGAGTCATTTTAATTGGCCCATACATAAAATTCTGCAGCACAGATTTTGAGCGTTTCATGGTTCTCAAAGCAAGGTTTCCATCTTAAGATTTTCATAAAAGCAAAGTCTTTGCAAAATTGGATTAAATTCCACTCATTGTAATATTAACTTATACCAGTAGTAGTGAGATACATATAAGTAAGTTGGGTAGAAATATCCTACCTTTCAAAGTTATATAATTTAACAAAATTATACAACCTCAAGGCTCTTCACAATTAATGTAGGAAATTAACTTTTCAAAGCAGAACTATTCATGTGAAAATATACCTTGGTGAAATGTATATTTAAGAAGTAAAATAACAAAGGGGAGCTATATCACCAATGTAAGTTATGAGTTAATTGCAGGTTCTGCCATTCTTGGTAATTCTTTGACATACTAAGTGTTTCAGTTCATATTTAATGATACTTAATCGTGGGAATTTTAATGTTTGTTAAAAATAGCAGAAATTGTAAAAATTGTGAATTATTGGAAAAAATGCCATTACTTGTATATGACATTTAAATTTTTAAATTATGGAGTCTACATGCTTTTGAAGTATAATATTAATACAATGATTATTCTCTTGTAAAAGAAAAGGAAAACCTAGTAAAGAAAAATGTTTTAGTTGATGTTATCTGCTTGTGAGTATCAATTACTTAATATTTTAAAATTTAAGGTATTGCATACTTTTCTTTAGAATGCAGAAATCCCTTCCTGAGCCTTTATGCCTGTGGTAGAGCAATAAAAGACTAAAAAGGTTATTGGTATTTTCAGGTTTATTTGACTTTAAGAATTAGTGCCAAGAGCTGGAGAGTCCACTTTTTGGATGGAAATGCTATTTAGAATAGCTATGTAAAAATAAATGGTGATAGTGTAAATATTTAGAAAAAATTAAATAGCAAGTGCTTTTACTGCTCAAGAAAATAGTACAGATGTTCTTTCATCCTTTAGATGCTGGCTGTTGCCCATTATTTTCTGATTTTGTGATTGTTGTATATGTTACATTTGACTAATGAATAATTGGTAATAGTGTATTGTAACAGTGCATAGTGCTCTACAGCACACCTCACTGTACAGTATTTGAGGTTTCTTTTGTATCAGTAATAAAATTGAGTTAATACATACTGATTTTCCCCTCAACTTCTCCAAATTAGCTTTTTAAAGTAATTTTTTATTCCTTAGTTTCCTGGAGTTATACTGGAGTATTATAATGCATGAACATATACTTCAATTTTATAAAGGAATTCTTAGTGTCATAAATTTTTTTTTTTTAAACTTCTGTAAGTGGAAGTTAATACAGGGACAGTAATTTCTCCCCTTAATGCAGATTTTAATGCTAGATGAAATGGACCCAATTAGAAAAGAATAAGGAAAATTTCTTTAGACATGTTACATAATTGTGTCATGTAATGCTTACTGAATATTTTAAAACAAAACAAAGATGTTCTAATAAAGAGAACTTGGTGATGGTTTTTAAAAATACTGATTAGTAATAATGAGGAAATGAATGGAAATATAGAAAATAGTCCTAAATTACATTTGTATAGCTTAACTATCAACACTCAACTTAAATTTACTTTAAAGTTTTAGTATATATGCTTAATATCTGTTTTACCAGAGTAGATCATTTAACTCAGTGGTTAGAATATAACCTCAGACACCAGACTTCCTAGGTCTGAGTGTTAATACTATGTGACCTCTCTGTGCTTCGGTTTCCTCTCTCAGAGGATAATAATGACATCTACTCCTAGGATTGTTGTGAGGATTAAATGAGTTAAACACATATCTGTTATTAGGAACAGTGCCTGAAACATAGTAAACACTCAAATACTTGCTATTATTATTGTTATATGTCAAAGTAATGTAGAGTTCAGTTGCCATTTAAGTAGGATAAATCCTCACATCTAGGGCACACATTATTTAATTTATTTTGTTATATCTAAAACTTGTTTTATTTGTGGTATTTAATTAATGGACTAAAGCCTGAATGGTTGTACATTCAAATATTTACAAGTATGCAAGGGCTTTATGACCATGTGCAACACTGAGAATCTGGAGAACTGACAGTTTGTGCTTTGTGATCTGAGGTAAGTTGGAGCCTTTCAAGGCCTCTGTTTCTACTGTAACCTTGTGGTTTCACATTTGTTACCCTTTTGTTCTGCTGACCATGTCATGGTTTCACCTGCTGAAGGAATAGTGCTGATGAGACAGGTGACATGGATATGAATCCCAAGTAAACTAAACATAATTACCTTTGCTTTATGCCTTGGCTGCAGTTGTCCCAAACTTGGACTTAAGGTCTTGTATGTGCATGCCATTGGCTACATACCATCAAGTGAGAGCTCTCAAAAACTCTTCAGTAAATAAGATAAACATCTTACTTATGACCGTTTATTATGGATTTTATTTTTACAGACTGGCTCTTTCAGACCCCAGTAACTGCAGTCCTAATGAATAATTGATTGTTTCTAATCATTAAAAATGTATACAGAAAAATTCAAGTAAGTCTTTAATTGACTTTCTAAACTGTATATGGTACACTGAGGTGAAAAATTTACTTCAAATTTGTACTCTTTCCTCATTGGCACTAAGCCTGTCTTTGATCCGCTTGTCATACCACATAATTCTTTAAAAACAGATAAATTGTGTGAGAATCTGGGGAGATTATACCTGTTGGTTACATGTATATAAAAAAATTTTTATGTATAGTATGAGGTATACCTGTAAAATAAAGACTTCTTTTTATATTCGATTTATGGAATCAGCTTAGATAGTCACACTTGAATCATTCATTCAAAACAAGTACTGATCAAATGCCAATCTTGTATTTTTCTAGGAACCAGGAAAACAGTTCTGGAATGAGACAAATTCCATGTGCTTTTACAATTTACATCCCAATGATGGAGACAGGCAAAAAAACACACATAATAGCTATCATTTAATGCCCCCTTTCTCTGTCCAGGAAATAGGCTAAACTCTTAATGTGCAATAATTACCCCTCAGGATAACCCTTTGTGGTTGGGTGCCATCATTGTCTTCATCTTTCAGGAAAGAAGGTCACATAGATTAGTTTACCCAAAGTCCTGGAGTTAGTAGGTGGCAGAGCTCAGATTTAAACCTAGATGTTTATGACTTCATAACCTATGCTCTTAGCCCCAATGCTACATTTGTAATTTAGCAAAGGAGTAAAAATTGGTAGTCACATAGGTCTTTTCAGACATCTGTTGTTGAATCTAGCTTGTTTTCAGGTACACCAACCTGGTTTGAACTGATTTCAATGTAGAGTACCTGTCTTTAATTTCATTTCCTACTAGTTCCCTTCCTGCACCCCAATCCTGTACCCCAAGTTCTTCCTTTCTCAGGTTTGTTTTCCTGCCTCCTCCAAATTTGGAGGTGCTTTAAGAAAGAGTTTCAGAATTTCTTAGATGACTAATATGGGTAAATTTGAGAATCATTGGTTAGATAAAAGTCCAACTCCCTAATTTCAAGGACCTAGACTAATTATTATTTACTAAGCAGGTCTATTGCTTTGGAGGGAAGGCTCCCCAAAGGTGATGTTTCCTCAAAGTATAATGAATTGCATACATCTCGCCTAGAAAACTTATTTCTATGGAATCTATCATGTGCCAGGTACTCTGCTAACATAAGGAATAATAAACAAGTAAGAAAGACAAACTTCCTGGCTTCATTATGCTTACATTTTTTGGTGAAGGAGAGAGACATTTAAACAAGCAATTAAGTGCACTTATAGGGGAGTATTGCGTGGTGTGGGATTACAGTGCAGGAGGAGCTAATGTGCCTTGCTAATGGTTAGGAAATGCTTTCAGAGAGGTAATGAATTAGCTGAGACCTAAAGAATGAATAGGATACTTAAAAATTAAATTGTCAAGATTCGGAGTCTCCAAAATTATTTTACTCACTAGGCCAGGCCATCAAGCAAAATTAAGTGGTAGGCTTATGTTTGCCCTGCTTTAGATCTCAGATCCTTACTGGAAGGGGGTGGTGACTCAGTTGAATGGAGAATGAGAAACTTCAAGAAAGCTTGCGAAAATAAGGTTGCCAGGGAAAGAGAAAAACTGGCAGAGAATGAGTTCCTGAAGTGAGTGTATAAAACCAACTTCAGATACATGAGCTTTGAAACTAAAAGGTATTTGCTACTAATCATCCTTACTGGAAGGGGGTGGTGACTCAGTTGAATGGAGAATGAGAAACTTCAAGAAAGCTTTCGAAAATAAGGTTGCCAGGGAAAGAGAAAAACTGGCAGAGAATGAGTTCCTGAATTGAGTGTATAAAACCAACTTCAGATACATGAGCTTTGAAACTAAAAGGTATTTGCTACTAATATGACCAATGTAAATTAGATGCATAGATGTATAACAAAAATAAACAAAGAAGTAAAGCAAGAATCAAATTAAGGGTTTAGAAGCCCTCAGTTATTCTGATTTCTTTCAACATTACCAGGAGTATAGAAAGATTAGTTTTGTTGCTTCCTCTAGCTTCTCATGGCTCTGTATAAGTATCTGTCACCTGTTTCTATTAGGCAGTAATACTGCCCCAGTGGCTAGTAACTAAATGTCTATCTTAAGTTGTGCTTATGATATTCCTCTTCAATTTAAGATTATCGTTATGGATATTTCTTTTGTAAATGTTACAATGTTATTAAATTTATTTTTGGTACATTGAGGTGATTAGAAAAATTAAATATCTGAAAAAGAAGTAATCCATAAAAGTTCTCATTGAAATAGGCCTTAATTTCTTCCCTGTTTAAAAGTTATTCTCAAAGCAATACATGCCCATGGTTAAAACAATTCAATTCGAAACTTTAGAAAGGCATCCAGTTCCCCCATCCCAATTGCTAAATCAACCATTTCTCTTTGGTGTTTACCTCCATAACTTAAATAGGATGCTTTAGGTCTAATTTCTTGATTAGTCAATTTTATACAGTATTTTACTCTCCCATTATGAAAGATGAGTTCCCTTGCCTTTTTAAGGTTATCTTTATAATTTTAGCGTACTTAAGTCTGTTTATTGAGCCATCAATTTTGGACATTGTCTCTTGACTCCCCAATATGTAAAATGAGGAAATAAGCATTTCTACACTTTCTAAAATTTCCTATCTTTCCATTCTACTTCCTAACTGTTATCAGCTGTACTATTTATTACTTTTACATTGTCAAAGTTTATGGTATTGAAAATATGTTCTTGTGGCCGTAATCGCTTTTTAAAAAAATCTATAATTTGATTAAGCTAATAAACAACTGAGTTGATCCCAAATGTTAAAATGAAAATGGCTTTTTTTCTGGGACACCAACTAGAAGTTGGAGCTTTCCTAAGGCAGATTCTGTAATTTAATTTATTTAGAGAACAGTCCTCTTGTTTTTGCCTGGGTATAAATGCACCAGCAGTTACTTCACAAGAGGAAGTAGGAATAGATTATGGTGGAGATTAATTAGCATAGCTGTCCTATAAAAAATTCAATTGTCTTGTTTTATGTCCCACTACTCACTCTTGCTTGCTATGTATTCGCTTCCTAATTTGAAGCCTTCAAGTCCCATTAGGAAATTCAGGCCCCCCTTTTGCTTTAGTCTTCTCCTGTGTATAGTTTCTGAGGTGTGGTTGTCATCAGTATTTTTCATACCTCACTATGTTCCTGTTTCCTGTCTTCTAGAAATACATTAATAACCGAAGTCCACAGATGTTCTTCCTGCTACTCTTCTCTTTAGATGTTTTGGGTTTGTTCCCTTTTATGCTTTACTGTAATAAAAACATAAGTTTGGGATGGAGAAGAGATCATTATATACATTCAATTCACCATCTTGAACCAAAAGCCCAGGTCTTAAATTTGTAATGAAGTTATACAGAATTGGCTGGCTGGTTAGCTCAGTTGGTTAAAGTGTGGTGCTGGTAACTGGCCAGAAAGAAAAAAAAAATTGCACAGGATAATCTCAGGTTTTTATTTTTGGGTTTTTTTTTTTTTTTTGTATTGTTTTGTTTTGGTCTCCTTTAGGTAACTTCAGCATTTTGTAAATCAAAGACATTTTGACTTCAAAGGAAGGGTGTTATTGTTTTGCCTGGAAGCAATGCTAAAAATATAGGTAAGAACCACAATTTATCTTTCAGTT